CAGATAAAAATCTGTAAATATCCGACAGACATCTGTCACGTATATGCGTGAATCTGAAACCAACCATACGTCAAAGATGCGGCAAGAATGCAAAGAGATCTAAAGCTGGAATCCCGAGGGATAACAGAGTCACATATTTTCGGGATCTGCCGCAGATAAGTATCCGGATTTTGGGATTTTTTTAGGATCCATTTGTGTCCGTATACGGGGATATCCGAAAACCGAATCTGCCGGGGATGCGATACGGAATTTCCCGGAAATTGTACGTATATGTGAAGAATACGGAGATATCACCACATCGGATCGCTCCGTATATCCATGGTTTTAGTGCAGTGTATTTATACAGGTTAGTCTCATTGAGTCAGGATGACTAATTTTCAAGAGACTGTTTTAAACAAACAAACAAAAAGTGCACACAACAATAAATAAAAAGCATATAAAATGAAAAGTAAATAAAAGTAGTGACATAAAACAAGTTACATTATGAAATGGGGTAAAATACTAGATACAGGAACATGTCTACATTGATTTTTGAACTGAACTTAATAGTTGTTTAAAATTCAATTAAAACAATTAAAAGCTTGAAAGTTCTTCAAGCTCTCTGGAGGTTTTTTTAAATGCTTTTCACCCACGTTTTGTCTTATTTTTTTTAAAAACACAATCCTTTATCATTTTAAAATGGGAAAAATAGACAAGTTGAGGACAAAAGACGTGTAATTAATAAACAAAGTACAGCAAGTAAACAAAATCTGAAAGTTGTGTCTTTAAAAATCAAACAAACAATAACAAAATCAGGCACAGGCCACGAAAAGACCTAATTCAGTCAATCATCCACTATATTTTCTGCTGATAGTTTTGTGACTCACCTTGTTTGTACTGAAACATTCTTTGTGTCAAACTGTATCATACTTTTCATTTTCATTTTTTAGTACCATTTTCTTTCACTTGTTCTTCTCTGTTTGTATGCTTCCTTTTATGATTGCATATTGTTGTCTTTGTTGTCCACAGTTGTCATCGCTCATTGTTAAAATCAAGTCTCTCTTGTAAATGAATCTCTGAGGCTCATTGGGATTAAACCTGTATAAATAAAGGTTGAATGAATGAAAAATCTATGAAAGAGGCCAGGTTAGATTTGAACCGCCTCATTTTCACTCCAGCTTACGCGAGCCGTACACCCCTGTAGGCGGATACGCATAGGTCTGGGTACAACCAACGATGCGGATATTCTCTTTACAATTCAACGAGCATACCCATTTTTTGCCGACGATAGAAGAGCGAATCAACCAATCAGAACAAGAGAGGAGTGATGCGCATGCGCAATGTACGTTTAGTCTACCGACTTTGAGACTAGCTGTAAAACACGTTTATTTAGCTTAATGTTTAAACAAATGGTGTCAATTTGTAATTGGCCTTAATATTTATCACACGAACTGTTATTTCGACTTCTGAGAAGTACACGCAGGTAAGAGCTTTTGTTTATTTAGGTCAGGGGTATGTTAGGGGTCGTGCTAACCAGACACCATGGTGTGTTAGCTTGTCTTGATAGTTTGTGGCTTCATGATGAACTTTACGCACGCGTATAGGGCTCTGGTAAAATGTACAGTGACTATAGCTGTTTAATTACCCCGTAGTAACTTGTTTTATAGAGTTTACTGACAGACTTTATAATGGTGAGAGCCGCATTGTTATATGAAAGCCGTCTGATTTGTCATCTGACATCTTCAGTGAATCAATCAGTGACATCCTTTGGGACATTAAACAATACTTGTAATTTATAGATTTTCTCAACTTATTACAAAATAGTTTAATTTTCTCAAACTGTGCATGATCATATACATTTGTTTTTATAATATCCCAGAAGTCTGAAACCTGAGAAGTTATTTTTATCTGCGAGAGAATAGTCATTGTTACATTGTTTCAATATGAAACACTTTTATGTAAAGGTTCGGATTCTCAGAATAATGTTACTTACTTGCAAGTACTTGAAAAGGATCATAACAACAACAACACTTGGTACAAATAGTCTCTGTGTGTGTGTTTAAAGACCTGGGGAAATTAACAGTAAAGTTGCTTTGATCAACAATCTTATACACCTTTGAGTTACACAATACTCAGCTAGAAGCTTCCCACAAATTGGATTTTTTTTTTAACTCAACACAAAAAAACTTAATAAGAAGTTTGTCTATTTTTCATTCAGTTTCACAATTAGTTGATGAAATTGATTCACCTCTCTTAAGGGACTCATGAACTGTAATGCTAGGGGAATATAAATAGTTGTTTCTTTTTAATGCTGATAAAAAGTGTTTGCTGCTATATTCTTGTTTTTAACATTTTTCGTCTGTATTTTACTGCAAGCAGTTCACAGACACTAGACGACTAATGGTTTATTTACCTATGTTCCTGAGGCTTTGATAAAGTATCGGCTCACTTTGTAACTGTGGATATACATTTGATACCAATCGCAAAATTCTAAATAAAATTGTGCATACTGAAGTTGGGAATTTTATTTATTTTTCTTTCTTTAAAATTATAATTTTTTTTTAAATAAATGCTGTTAGTAATGGATATTATGTTCACTTACAGATCCTTTAGTGATTTTTTTCACATCGATGTTCCGGGCTGGATTGAGTAATAGATTTGATCAGAACGTTGTTAGTTTGTTGTTTCAGCAGAGTTTTCACTTGATTTGAAAATATTCAAATAGGATTTATTTGGATTATGTTGAAAGTTCTCTGCCATGTGTCCCTCTAATCTAATGTGTTGTTACCTCTGAAGCAAATACTATTGTCTTTGATATTTACTTTGTCTTTTCTTAGTTAGCTTCACATTTGTGAACGTCCCGTTTTGATGGGTGGGACATCACATGCAATTTGTCAGTTTGGGAGTTGGCATAGATGTAAGTGATAGTGAAAGCTGTTGTGTGCAGATTAGGTCTAATTAATGTTCACTGGAGCTTTTGGGGAAGTTGGATGAATGAGTGACTAGTATGTTATGTCCTAATAAGCCAATCACATACTATGAGCTTAGTAAATCCAAGTTTACAACATTTAGTAAAGTCAAAATGAATCATTTTTATTGACGCAAGCTGTTTTTTTCCTGGCACAACAGTACTACTTTACTACCATTAAACTAGAAGGTCACTTGAGAGTGTGTCCTCTGCTAAGGATATCCTGTTTCACAACTTGAACAAAAGTGGATTCATACCAGCATTTAGAGTTTGCTATAGCAGTTTCCCCATAAAATGTCATACATCTAAATAAACAAGAAAACTAAAACCACAATCAGTCTTGACTGGAAGGTACTGTGTGTATATATATATATATATATATATATATATATATATATATATATATATATATTCGAGGCCTGTTACAGTCAGTCTGAAAGGATTTTGACAAGTTTGTTGCTAAAGTTCCACAATCCATGACCGTATTCGAGGTCACACTTGGACAGGAACAATACATGCCAGCTGTCAGACATGAAAAGAGAACAAAATATAGTAGACTAAATAAAGCTTTTTTTTAACTAGGTGACTTCTAGTCAGATGACTAAGATTGTTTTAAAGTGCAGTAAGCAGATGTTACTCATGATTTATGCACTGAAAGAATTCCTACATGGGAATGCAAAATGGTATAAGACAAACTGACTAGTGTCCCTGTACCAAAGCTGTAACTATGAATCCTAAAGCTGAACACAAACAACTTGGGATGTTGCTCTGGATTTGTTTAAAAGACGAGGGATACAGAGGAAGTACAGTCTGCTGCACAGCTTCAGTCTGGTGTCAGGACGCAGACGGTCTCCTATCAGCAGCATTGATTTATTTGTCAAACAGATGCTCGTCATGCAAACGGACTCTTAAGTACTAGCAGGACCAGATTAAACACCTCTTCATGTTGAACTTTGTTCCAAGGCAGTAAGCTGAACAAAGTATTGGAAGGACGGCATTAAAGGCAACCTTTTACCTTCAGAGTGATGCATGAGAGCATGGAGGCTGTCTCTGAGTGGTAACGCAGGAGAGCTGTTACAACTTGACACTTTAGGAGACATTTTGTGCACAACCAGTCATCCTTAAACTGTTTCTCTGTGTTAAAATGTCAAAATACTCCACGATAAACGATAATTAGTACTAGTTTAGGATCACTATTATTAGCAGTGCTGCACAGGAATACCACACCGTGGCAGAAATATTTTGATACTTGGTTTTCTTTCTTTTCCTGCTGTGTTTAGTAAAAGTGTCTGGTGACTGTGGTCACATGGGAGCACGTGAGAATAGGTGAAAGTTTAAATAATTGAAGTGTCCTGTGGCCCATTTATTACTAAGAGTCATTCTAATGGCATTTTCACCCATAACTACACACTGTATTTTTTTCCTGTATATGATGGTTTTTCTTCTTTAAGCATGAGTAATAATGTATTTGAACAAAAATGCATAAAGGTGCAGCCATATTATAATGTAACATTTAGAATATATTTAAAGTAACCAAAAAAGTAGTCAGTAACAGCTTTTTGTTCCTCCGGAGAATAGTAATTGGGAAAATTTATCCACCTTAAAAGCATATTTCAGATCTTTTCAAGATATTGAAGTTCTTTGAAAAGCTTGCCTGTTGTAGATAGCTTTTTGAATGACCCCAGTTTGTTGAAATACAATTTAGATCTGACCAGACCGACAAGCTAATGGCTATCAAAGTTCATGATCAATAATCCAGATAAAATAATCCAACAAAGTTAAGTCAGGTCCTCTGGACTTTTTGTTGTTGTTGAAACATTTTGTCTTTCATCCAAAAGACTTGATCAGTCCGAGGAGCCACATCAAACTCAGTCCCATAAGTAGCAGACTCACATAGTGGGCCAACCACCTTGTCTGAGGCAGCCATGGCCAAAGCCACAGCTAATGGCTAGTCTGAGCAGGGGCCAAGACCACAATGGACTGATGCTGTCTGTATGCAAATAGTTTTTGTAGACATGTGTACACCTGTCACATTGTTGTTCCAGCAGAAATATTATGATATTCCTGCCGGAAGTGCAACAGCTAGCTGCTGCTGCAACAACAACTTGAACTTGTAAATAACTCGAGTTTGTTTAAAATAACCATGTAATGTGAAATAATGTAACAGATTTTTAAAAGTGCATTTGTAAAGTTTTGTCATAGTGGTTTTAAGATGGCAACATTCATGGCTCCACTCTGACGGGCTGTTAGCTCATCAGTCTGGCCAAAATAAAACTCTTTCTCGAAACTGAGGTCATGCAACAAACTATTTATAACAGGTAAAATATTAATAGTTCATAAGCTTTCCATAGAACCCTTTTCAAAAGATATGAACGGTCACTTTAACGCAGCATGCTGAAAAGTGTAGCGAGGAAATCTCGGAGGACCCAGAATTTAAAAGTAGAATCCTCATTTTACTGCAAAGTCCAACATTTCATCATTGCCCCAACTTTATAGCAGTGTTACTAGAAAATAGGAGTTATTTTCCAAAGAAGTCCTATCTGTCTGCACGAGTTATTTATTTTTGCCTCATGTCCCTGTAATTAAACTACAATTACAGCTGTTTTAATGCTGTTTATTAATTATTGCAAACTTGCTTGTTCAGCTTGAGGAAGTGCAGTTCTGTTGGAAAAGCTGCCTCAGCTCGTCTTTATCCTCACAACGCCACAGTCATGTGCTGCGGTTTCTGTCAGACCACTCACTGTTATAAAAATGGAGCTGTTCTGCTTGGCTAAGTTTTTACTGTGAGCTTCGTGTTATCAGTGATGAGTTAGGAAGTAGCCGATTTAAAGAGTGTTCCTTTCGATCAGGGGGACTCTAGACTTCTTGTGAAAGTTTGTTTATTTGCTGATGTTTGGCTTGCTTCTAATGTTGCTTAGTCATTATTATTATTACTTGTAGAAACACTTTTAAGGGGAAAACAATGAAGAAGCACGTGCATGGTCATGTCTTCAAAATGCACGAGTGTTTTTTGTACAAAACAGGATTTGATTCGAGATCTGTTTGAAATGTCAACTTAATAGATGTGCTTTCACGTGCAAATAAAATAAAACGATTTTATAATAGCTGTCTTCTTGCAGGGGAGGCTGATATTCATCCCTCAGTTTCCCGGGAGTCGTGCAGCATGACGACGAACAAACAAGATGGAGACCTCCTGGAAGGTAGCCCCTTCCAATAACTGAAACATCATATTATAATCATCACTTTTCCTTTAATTCAACACACTGAATGCATGTCTGCTGCAAATCTTTTTGTGTGTGTGTGTGTGTGTGTGTGTGTGTGTGTGGAGTGCATTCTGTAACTTAAAACCATAAATGATTACATCACCAAGGTTTAGAAAAGTCACATACATGTATTTATATGCTTCAACCTGGAGTATGTTTAACAACTACATCGCCTCAGATAACTTTAAAAAGTTAGTGCCATGCCGTGTCGTTTTATCCTGAAAGACACAGTTTAGCTTGTGAACTTGTGTGAGAGAACGGGGGGCTTTTGTTGATGTTCTCCAGCAGATATTTGCTGTGTGGATTGGCTCGACTTCTGTTTATTTGCGGGTCAGTTTTTTCCAACACAATGTCAAAATGTCTTTGTGACCTTTACCTCCCCCCCCCCACACACACACACACACTCACCTACTAAAAAAAAAATCAGAGGCAGAGTCATATAAAAGCAGAGTCCTTCTTAGGCAAGAGTGGACTTTAAGATGAACAGTGAGTTGGAGATGGAGGGAGAAAAGACGGAAAAGTTCAGACTTAGTGAGTAGTGTTTGTTCTCATACGTTTGTCACGTTAAACAATAATTATAAGGCAACGGAAAGCTCATCGGTGCTTTTTAGTGTAATCCTCGTCATTTATTGAGCTCCCATAACATATTTTACTGGAGTCAATGGGTTTAGGATGTGGCTAATTAGAGGTTTCTGCTGACTGAGGTGAAACCTGTCATTTTAGGTTTAAACTAAATTACTTGTGTTGCATTTTGAAAACTTGGTAAATTAGTTATTAGCTTTGTTTGTGATTCAAATTTGACATTGTTGCTGTAAAAAAAGATTTTAGTCTAGACTGAACTTGTAACACAATGGAAATAGCTTCAGTCTCAGCTTTTATGGGTTTGTTATTAAACTTGTTGAATCTTTTATGCATGCAGCAAATGTTAAAACATCTTTAGCCAAACTTTTGTTGGTTAAAGATTGATTTTTTTTAAAAAAAATTTTTGCATTCAGTCTCTACATAATTTATCAAAATGCCAGTTTAGTGAAAGTCTCTTAATTAAAAATATATTTCAAGATAAGTCATTCAGTAATTCTTGCATGTTGATTCAAAGACAATTTGAATTTGTTCAAACATTTTGTGGCTTAAAAAAGACAGTTTACATATATTTGAGAAGTGAGACGTGAAATGTCTTCAAGGATCAGAGAAGAAGTCAAACTGCCTTCATCTTGCCAGACTTACCATGACCTGACTAACAACCTGCACCAGTCTGGGTTAATACTCTTTGAGAAAAAAAATCCACTTCCCTAATTTTCTGGAATAAGATAGATTTTGCTCTTGAGTTCTTTATTACCAGCCTTCTCTCATTATCAACTAAAGTGTTGCCGTTTGCTGTTTTCTCCTCAGAGGATTCCTGGCAGGAGAATGGAGTCCACACAAACCATTACAGCTCCATCTCTCCTCCTGCCTCACCTGTGGCTCAAGAAGAACCCTTCTCTACATATTTTGAGGAGAAGGTGCACATTCCAGAGGCTCCCAACACGGTACCACCATATATTTGATGCCTCTATTAAGACAAGGAGAAAACTTTAAATCAACGTTGGCACAGAACTGAATAGTTTTTGTAATCATTATTAGAAATAAAACTGTGCTGTCTTCTTCTTTCAGATATTCAGCTTCCGTAAACTCTGGGCCTTCACTGGACCAGGGTTTTTGATGAGTATTGCTTACTTGGATCCAGGGAACATCGAGTCAGACCTGCAATCTGGAGCTAAAGCTGGTTTTAAGGTGAACAATAAAAACATGTTTATTCACACGGTTAAGCCAACTTGAAATCACTTTAATCCACTTTAATTGGACATTTGACACGTTAACTGTGCTGCTGATTATCCATGCTGATTTCTTACCCATAAGCTGTTATATTCATACCCATCTGCTCACAACAGACTCATGTTCAGGCTGCTGTTTAATACACCATATTATATTATATTATTATTGTTTAGCGTATATCTTAGTTCCTTGTATACTGTTTCTTTTTTATAGTTTATATTACTGCTATTTTTTTGGTGTAACTGGGACCTTGACTACATAATTTCGTTCCACCTCATGTACTACATGAGATGTGAATGACAGTAAAGAACCTTGATAATAAAAATAAACTCTTTTCCTGAGATGGAGTGCTTACTCTTTTATTTATTTATTTATTTTGATGCCCTTTTGTTTTATTTTGAAGGCAGATCATCTTTGCTTAACGTCACATTTTGTCTCTCACTTATTGCATGTGATGCACGATATTATCGGCATGGTATCAGTATCGGCTCATGTTGGCTATAAAGTTAAATATCGGACATCGGCCATTCCATCAAAATAATTCACCGATATAAAAGGCGCTGTTTATATAAAAGGCTCTGTTTTTGTATGACAGCCCAGTGACAAGTATGCCTGCAGTGCCAGCACAACGTTATGACATCACACGTACCGTTGAGTTTAGATTTGTGAAAATTTACAAATTTGCACTGTTCAAGTGTTGTCATTGTGTTAGAGAGAGTAAATGTCATGAAAAAATTTGAAATTAAACATAATCCAAGTTGGAGTGTTACATCATTTTCAGCCCCCTTTTTGACATCTGTATTAGGTAGCAGGCCAAATTGACCAAGACCGTGCAGAATAATGTGATATTTTAAATTCACAGCAGAGAAAGCTATGTAGTTTCTGTAAGTAAGTCTAGAAAAAATATATATCATTACTGGTATCGGTTATCAGCCAAATAAGTTATAGGATATCGGCCAAAAATCCAATATCGTGCATCCCTATATTGCATCTTTTCTTACTATAATCGCTATTTTTGAATGTTAGTTTTGTATTTTTATTGTATCTAGATTTCTAAATTCTTTGTATTTTAGTGTACAGTTTTTTTTTATTATATGAATTTGGAGGTTGTATGTTCGATTACATGTATATGTAGGCAGGAATACGTATGTATTTTGATTGATAAATTGTATGTATTTTAATGTGTAGAAATGCCCAACCAGGGACTGGAATTGTAAATTAGCTGTAGCTATAAACTCTTTGTGCAACACATCAGTCACAGACTTGTCCTGTTCTATGTTTGTTTGCATTGTCCTTGTCAAGTAAACTACCGTAGTAATAATAATAATAGTGCATTTCAAAGTGTAAATAATTTGAAAAAGTCTGAAAATGCAGTGATTCTTCTCATATGTTGTAGTCACTTGAATGCGTCCCCTCTTTTGCAGCTCCTATGGGTGCTCCTCGGAGCCACCATCATCGGGCTGCTGTTACAGAGGTTAGCTGCACGTCTCGGAGTCGTCACGGGGATGCATTTAGCTGAAGTCTGCAACCGCCAGTATCCCACCGTGAGCATCCCCCCACTATCACCACACACCTGAATTTCCTCCTACTTGCCACTCATCAAGTTTTTTCTTCTGAAGTGGTAATCTGTCTCCTACTCATCCCATAACGTTTTCTTTTAACTCTGTTATTGTAAATGTCTTCTCTTTTAGGTTCCTCGGATCATCTTGTGGTTGATGGTCGAGCTGGCAATTATCGGTTCAGACATGCAGGAAGTCATCGGCTGTGCCATAGCTTTTAATCTTCTCTCTGTGGGCAGGTAACGAGTTTTATCCATGCCTGTGAATCCTGCAAACACGACTGATGTAAATAAAATTATTCAATCTGTATTTATCTCTCTCTCATCCAGGATCCCGCTGTGGGCAGGAGTTCTTATCACTATCACAGACACTTTTGTGTTTCTCTTTTTAGACAAATATGGTTTGTAATGATTGTTAAAAAATATATACAGCTTCTTTGACTTACATTTCTGACTCGCGGTATTTATGCACATCTTTAAAATCTCTTTAGGTCTGAGGAAACTTGAAGCTTTCTTTGGCTTTCTGATTACTGTAATGGCTATTAGTTTTGGCTATGAGGTACGCTTCCTTCACATTTAAAATCTACTTGAAGTATTTGAATTTCTAGTTCCTAACATCGTTCCTTCACTTCAGTATGTGTTAGTGAAGCCGGATCAGGGAGAGGTTCTGAAGGGGATGTTCATGCCGTACTGTGCTGACTGCGGACCCGTGCAGCTGGAGCAGGCTGTGGGAATTGTAGGTGCTGTCATCATGCCCCACAACATCTATCTGCACTCAGCGCTGGTCAAGGTTAGAAACATTTATGTAACAATATTTACTAATGTGTTAATTTGAAGCTTTGACAACTTGACCTGCACAAATGTTGGTTCCAAAATGTCCCGAGAGCACCCAGAGTCCTGCGCTTCTAAATAAGGAATCCAGGGATATAATTTGAATGTTTGTCCGTACATTTTCTTTAGTCTCGGGAAGTGGACCGCAATAAAAAGGAGGACGTAAAAGAAGCCAATAAATACTTCTTCATCGAGTCAGCCATCGCTCTCTTCATCTCCTTCCTCATCAACGTGTTTGTTGTTGCCGTCTTTGCTGAGGCCTTTTACAATAAAACCAACATCCAGGTGGTGAGTTGGCAGTTTGAAGAGTTTGCTGAAAATCACTGCAGCTCCATTTGTCATTTAGTAAAAATATTTTTTATGAGAAATTTTACCAGACAATGGAAATAAAATGTATGCTCATTGTTGTAGAACGAAATGTGCAATGCGACCGGCAGCACTCATGCAGACCTCTTTCCCCTCAACAACGGCACTCTGGAGGTGGACATCTACAAAGGGGTACGTCGGCAACAATAAACCCTGACTTTTTATTTTTGGGGACATTAAATACATTTTCAAATACAGCACATATTTCAGCCTGGGTGAGTAATATTTAATAGGGCTGATTCAAGAATTCAACTCTTAATATGACAGAAAATCAAAATTGTGTGAGTTGAATGTTGTGATGATTTTTGACATTGATCATCTCTGCTGTGGTCACCGCATTGTAGAAAAATATTCATCGATCAAATAACAGCAGTCTCTGCATGTGTTTATACTAGGCTATAACACCTACACACAGTGAAGTACAGTAGTCCCTCGTTTATCGTGGGGAATCCGTACCCTGAAGCCCCACAATGTTTCTAAACTCTAAATGCTCTAAAAGAGCACAGAATGTCATGTGTGTAGCTCTCTCCCTCCTGTCAATCATGGCTGCACTCAGCCACCTGCACGCGGTCTTGGCCACGCCCACTTCCCTGCTCTGCATGGAGAAACAGCTGATCAGCTGCAGCAGGAAGTTTCTCCTGCAGCATGGGTTGCACAAAGGCAGGAGGAAGCTTTTTCTGCAGCTGTGGGCTGCACAAAGGTGCAGCAGGTGCTACATAATTTAAAATAATTCATTTTAAATAAAAATCCCATGCCGATCGTGCGGCTCATCCATCAATCAGCCAATTGTGTCATGTCCACTCTTATTTGGCAAAACCGCGATAGAACGAGTCTGTGATAAATGAACCGCAAAGTAGTGAGGAACTACTGTAGTAAAAAACGTTAGCTTATTGGGTGAGGGTTAAATATTTTTGAAGTTTCCATAAGCAGAATAACTAAAAGCACCATGAAGCAGACGTTAATCAAGCAGTTTTTGTTTTAATCACTCAGAAAAAGTGTCATCTGTAACATTTGAAGAGACTAAAATTAATTAAAGCGTACATTTAATTAAATCTGACCCAGAATAATCACTGATCAGTTCCAAGCTATTAAAGATGAGTATAGATACTTCATAGATCTAGATTAGATAAAGCTTAGATAGTTTGTCCTCTGTCTCTCAGGGAGTGGTGCTGGGCTGCTTCTTTGGTCCTGCAGCTCTCTACATCTGGGCCATCGGGATTCTGTCAGCTGGTCAGAGCTCCACCATGACAGGAACGTACTCTGGGCAGTTTGTGATGGAGGTGAGAATACCTGCGAGCCTCGTGGTGTTATGTTTGTGAGTCTTTTCTGTGGTTGTCTGTTAATTTGTGCTTTTATTATATTCGTTGTCTGTACTAAGGGTTTTCTGAACCTGAAGTGGTCTCGTTTTGCTCGGGTGCTGCTGACTCGTTCCATCGCCATCACTCCTACACTGCTGGTTGCCATTTTTCAGGACGTTCGGCATCTAACGGGGATGAACGACTTCCTCAATGTGCTTCAAAGCATGCAGGTCAGTACGAGCTGTCAAGAAAGCTCTCTCAGTGGTCCTTTACGCTCTGCTCCTTTTGGTTTGCAAATACCATCATAAAATGTTTACCGTTATTTCTCTTCTCACCCAACAGCTTCCATTTGCTTTGATCCCGATCCTAACCTTCACCAGTCTGACCTCCATAATGAACGACTTTGCGAACGGAATGTGAGTAAAATAAGTTTTTATTCTGACATCTCTCGAGAATTTCTAACCAAGTATTTAATTGCGCCTCTAGAATGTTCTTAAAAATATATTTTTCTAGTAGTGAGCTGTGAGCAGCTGCATATTTTTTGTCTGAAATGTAATTGATCAGATGTTTTCGGTTCCCTCTTTGTTAACTTGTTGACCTTTATCGGGTTTAAGTGAGCTAAAATGTGCAAACAAGCAAATGTACATTCCACAACAATCTTATAAATCTGTTCTCAGCCGAAGGGAAGGCTGAGAACAGATTAAAAAGAAAATAGCTGCTCAGTTCTTAAAGCTGCAGCTCCACTGCAGGAGATCTCAGTTTTAAGGAATAGATACAACTGTGGCCAACGAACAGACGGTTCACTTTGTGAAACCGAGCATTTTCTCACACGCTTTTGTTATTGTCTAAGTATGAAACCAAGTGAGACTAAACTCAGACTCTGAACTGTTTTGGCCATAATGTTTTGATAGATCAACGTTGTTAGAGAGGAAGTGAAAGGTGCAGCAGCCAGTGTAAAAGTTTGTTCCCACACTGTTCAGTTTATCTTTTAAGAGGCTAATATGTTGCCTTTTTTTACATTATTGGGGACTGCCTAGTATAAGGCAGACACCTGTTATTATTCACTTGGTTCAACTGGTTTCTTAACTTTATATCCTAACTCTTCCGTCATCTTTAATGCGGCCCGAACCGCAACGTGTACCCCCACAAATGTGATATCAAAATGACTGGCTCGGCACCGTGATGTGTGCTGTTACTTTAATTGGCGTTTCGAGTTACCATGGTGACGTAATTTGCTAACAAAGATGCCATCTTTCCCTATATAAAATGCCTGACACTCCTCACACTAACTGCTGCTGTCAAGTCACCTGACAAAAAGCGTAGAGGTCCCTGAAGAAAACAGAAAGTCACTGTTGGATATGTTTGAAACTCACAGAACGTAATCATCAGATGTACAACAGATTAATGTTTGGAAGCATTTTGATTCAAGATGGCTGCCACAGCAAACACAAAATTGACTATAACGCTGTCATTTTTTGAGATATTGAGCTGCAATTTAGTATGGTTGTAGCTGAGAGCATCTTGTTAAACATTCCTGATGTCAATCGAATATCCAAGATGGCCGCCTTACCTAAAAGAAAAAAATCCAATAACTCAGCCATTTTTAAATCTATTCAGCTTAAATTTGGCATATTGGTAGCTGAGAACGATCCCTACTAGACTCTGACTGAAAATCAAAAATCCAAGATGTCTGCCCGAGCAAAAAAGGAAAACTACTATAAATCAACCAATTTTAGCAATTGCGCTGAAATTTGGTGTGATGATAGCTGTGAACGTTCCCTATCACATACTGAATTCAAATCAAAAATTCAAGATGGTCGCCTTGGCTAAAATGGAAAAAATATGATAATAGCCATTTTTAGAGCTATTCAGCTGAAAATTGGTATAGTGGTAGCTGAGAGCAAACCTCAACACATAGTATTGTAAAATCAACTATTTAAATCCGCAGCAGCCTGGCAGTCCCCGTCAAAGTTTCTCCAGGAACTCTCTAGTTCGTTTTGCCATTGTGTATAGCAAAAACACAAAAAAGCATTTGTTTTAAAAGAAACCGACAGTGTGGAGTCAAAATTATTCCTCAGCTACGTGAACAGTGAAAAGAATACCCCACGATACCTACTTGTGTTTTTCTTGTTTTATACAAACCTGTGGGAACAGTTTATCTTCACATGATTAGGTTGAACTTTAAAGCAATAGTTCATATTGGTTTAATAAAATGTTGTTGTTTTTTTCAAGGGTATGGAAGATTTCCGGAGGCCTGGTCATCCTGGTGGTTTGTGCAATCAACATGTACTTTGTGATTGTTTATGTGACCGCGCTGAACAGCGTGCTGCTCTACGTTTTTGCTGCTCTCCTCTCCGTGGGATACCTGTGCTTTGTCAGCTACCTGGTGAGTTGCTTACGTGACGCTTTGGAAAAAAATTTAGGCGATCTGTGATTCTCATAAAAACATGTTTGAAGGCGTGTACATTTCTTTTGAAATCGGTTTAGATTTAAAAAGAGTTTTTAAATGAAGTGGCATTCCTGCTTTGCAATTACCTGGTTATTATTATAATCAGATTACCTGATCTTCAGCAGGTGTACTCTTGTATAAATGCAGAAACTTTGACAGTTTGCTGCTCTGGAGCATACAGGTGTGTGCGCGCCACTATCCTTTAAGAAAACTATGTTTTCCAGCTTTTATTTTGCTTAAAGTATACTAAAAAGTAAACTACAAACATTCACAATTGAAATCCCTCAGTGATGGAGGACGTTGGTGTACTGCTTGTTTAATTTAAAACATCAAACTGTGTCATCACAGAATATGGTAATGCATTATTGTATTTTTCTGTTAAAAAACAAGTGCCTGCAAAGTATTTTAATGTCTTGTTCATTTTTTTTTTTCTGCAGTCGTGGCACTGTCTGGTTGCCTTGGGGGTTTCCTGCCTGGACTGTGGCAGCAGGGTAAGCAATCGACCTGCTGTGTTCATAGAGGAGCAGTCTGAGTACGACTCCTAGAGCTGAACACCACTCTAACCACCAGCATATCTCCTTTATTCCTCTGGGAGGGACTTGTGCACAGCCAGGACTGTTCAGGATCATTTAGGATCTTGAACGCATGTCCCCTGCTTATGCCTTGTTTTATTTCTGTAGGGCTGGATATCAAAATTTGCTGCTTTTTAGGCTCTCGAACGCATCAAAGTTTTCCCAGCATACTGTGTACAAACCTGCATTTGACACTTGAGAACATTTGGGAGAAATAAGCTTAGATAATTACGTTAAAAACAATCATTAAGTGTAATTAAAGTTTTGAATTCAGCAGCAGTGTGTAGTCATGTGTTATAACTAGAGTTTTTGCTGCTAGACTTGTGCTGACATCTGCATAATCAAAGTCTGCGACCTTTGCCTGAAGGTCTGACCCTGAAATTGGGATCATTTCACTTTTGATCGACTTCACTCTCCTCCTGGAGTTCAGTGCAGCCGCTGTGTTTTGAGGAGACTGGATAGACGGCTCAGTGATAAGGAATCGACAGACAGAAACAGAGAATTTAATAAAACTTCTCAGTTCTCCACAAGATGCCATCTGGAAGCAGCTTGTGTTGTATGTGTGAACAGTTTTCAGGTGCTTTGGTTCCCCAAAAATGAACATCAGCAGTGATCCCATTTTTCAACTGTCCAGCCATCCATTATCTTCCGCTTGTTCCGAAGTCGGGTCGTGGGGGCTGCAGCTTGAGCAGAGAGTCCCAGACATCTTGTTCCACAACCACCTCTTCCAGCTCTTCTGGGAGGACCCCAAGGCGTTCCCAGGCCAACCGAGAGACATAGTCTCTTCAGCGTGTCCCGGGGTCTCCTCCCAGTCGGACATGCCTGAAGCACCTCTAGGGAGGCGCCCTGGGAGCATCCTTACCAGAGCTCATGACTGTAGGTGAGGGTAGGAACATAGAGAGCTTTGCCTTACAGCTCAGCTCCCTCTTCACCACAACGGACCGGTACAGAGTCTGCAATACTGCAGACACTGCACCAATCTGTCTGCCAATCTCACGCTCCATTCTTCCTTCACTTGTAAACAAAACCCCAAGATACTAGAACTCCCCCACTTGAGGCAGAACCTCGACCTCAAGAGAGCAATCCACCCTTTTCCTGTTGAGGACCATGGCCTCAGGAGGTGCTGATTCTCATCCCAGCTGCTTCACACTCGGCTGCGAACCGCTCCAGTGAGAGCTGAAGATCACGGCATGATGACACCAACAGGACAACATCATCTGCAAAGAGCAGAGATGGAATCCTGAGGCCACTGAACCGGAAACCCTCCGCCAGCTGGCTGCACCGAGAAATTCTGTCCATAAAAGTTATGAACAGAATCGGTGACAATGGGCAGCCCTGGCGGAGTCCAACTCCCACCCTGAAGGGGTCCAACTTACGACCGGCAATGCGAACAAAACTCTCGCATCGCTTGTATAGGGACTAAACAGCCCATAACAACTGTACTATAAACAACAACTATAAATAATTTTCAAAAACAGACAGCTTATTAATTGTAGAAAACATAGCTTAGGTTCTGTTCGCCTACACACATCCCAACTTTTCATGGGTTTAATTAAACTTGATTTGATGATTCAGTCTGCTCTCCGTTCACGATCCTGTTGCCCTTAGGATGAATTCCACTTTGTCTACCTCAACATCCCTTACCGTTTTATCTCAGTGTAGCCTCACTGTGATTCTGAGAATGTATTATATACATTATTTATTTTAAACATTAAATACTTGCTGTTTAAAGATGTGTGCTAAAAAGCACCAAATGATATCCAGCCTCAGTTGTGTTGAAACATCTTGGTTAGTGGTTTATTTTTGTGTTGTCATAAGAGTATTCTTTTCCAACATGTCAGAAAAAGCTAAAGTCGCTATGTCAAGTATTTTGGTATACCTTTGCTTTCTTTGTCACTTCTTTCTTTGCTCAACTTAGACTGATAGATGAGGTTTACAGAGATACTTTTTGACTGCACTGTTTTCAAACGGGTCTCAGAAATTAAACGAGGGGCAGTTCAGAGGGTGAGACTCGAACTATCCATCCATTTTCTATACACGCTTCTCCCTTCCGGGTCGCGGGGAGCTTGTCCTGCACTCCATCAGACACTGTGCGAGAGGCGGGGAACACACAAGACAGCCGTTTACACTCTCACCCATAGGGATAATTTAGATTTACCATTCAGCCTAACATGTTTTTGATTTGTGGGAGGAAACCGGAGTACCCGGAGAAAACCCACGCATGCACAGAGAGAGCATGCACACTCCACCCAGAAAGGCCGGGAGACAAACTTGCATCTTTTTGTGTGGTGACAGCTCTTAACCACTGTTGCACCCTGCCGTCCGACTTGAAGCAAGTGGCTGTAAATATCTGCAGGTTGGTCCACAGAGCTTATTTTAGTGCCTCAGTAATCGTGATGTCAGATCTGCTTGGATTAGAAACATGATCGTGGCCTTTGTTGTAGTTCAACTTGATCTTATTTAAATTTGGGAACACCATTTCAAGGGGAGGATTAGTGTTTTCGATATGCGATTCAACTTTTTTACATTTCCTTGTTGTAGGAAAAAGCTCTGAATGTTTTCTGTCAATATACAACACTGTGCAAAAGTCTTGAGTCATTGTTCAGTGTTTATATTTTGTTTCCAAGCAGCCAGAATTTATTATAAACTTTTAGTGTCAATGAGCAATAATTATTCAGGCTTTCAGTTTATTATTATTATTATTTTAATTAAAAAAAAAAAAAAAAAAATTGGGGGGGCGGGGGGGGGGGTGGCATTAGCTGCTTATCTACTCATTGTTTGTCCAGTACCTGCCCAGTCCAGTTTAGAGGAGGAATTTTTTTTGTGGGTGGGGGACAGAAATAAAAGGCTTCCAAACTCTGTGTTGTGACAATACATAGGCAATCTTATTTATAATCCACTTTTAAATGGGATTTTTAGACTTTGTTAACAGAAGCCTGACACAAAGACAAAGTTTGTTTCTATTCTTTAGTTGAATCCACAAACAATAACAATGTTTGAGTGAAAAAAGGTTTTTTTTGTACAAACTGGACAGAACTGAAGGATGATGCATCTCTCAGGTCCTGTTTTATGTCTTTATTTTTATTTTTTCCCATTTCTTAAAGACACAACTTTCAAATAGTTTATTATCATGGAAGTTGAAAATTGGTGGAAAGAGTATTTAAAAAAAATCTGAAATCCCATAAACCCTGGATAACTACTGATTAACACTACTTTAAAAGATTATAAGATAATTTGGCTCATTGGAAACAAAACGTAGAGAAATTGGGGGAGTTTATAACTTTTGCACAGTATAAGCGTGTCTAAATTCAAATGATCAAGACTGCTATGCAAAATAGAATTAAAACAAAAGAACAATCAGGACATAGTTTTGTACGATTATTGCAAAAGTTACAAAAATCAAAATGCTTTTAAAGAAATTTTATTTTTTTATACATTCCAGAACAACAAGGGATCTTTTCGTTGATTAACACAAAATTATTTCACAGCCCTGAAATCATACCGCTGTTAGATTTATTAAACTCTTTTTGTTTTTGCAAATATATTGAAGTATTACGTTTTGAATTGTTTTGGACCTTTTACCATAAATAAGTAATTTGTCCATAACTTCTCTGAAGTAGTTTGACCAAAAGTTCATGATGACTTTAAATCAGATGTTTTTGTTCTGCTGTTTTCTATTTTAAATGTGTGTATAGTTTTCTCATGTCTGTTTTGAATATGAACCTGCTGTTAACTTTTACTGTAGATTTTTGACCAGTTTGCAGGGCAGAAAAAACATTACAACACGGTTATTGAAGCATTGAAACTCAGTAATTTAAGTATAAATTAATTTATTGTTAGCTGAGCGTAGCAATAATTGCTAGTTTTGTTGTTAAAACTTAAAACTGTGACTACGTATACAAAAATTCTTTGTTTGACATGTTTGTACCATGTCATGGAGGTGATTTATTAACCAAGCAATATGGCAGTGGACACGAAACTGCAAGTTTTAATGTATTATTCTAGATTAAAACAAGTAACTGAGCCGTATCCAAGTGATGTGTACGTTTTCAGAGACGAAAGTGCTGAAAAAGAAAAGTGGAGCACAGTTAGCGTCTTTGTCTTCTCAGAAATTATTGTCATATTGAGCACTCTGGCAGGTCTCAGATTGAGTTTTCCTTCTGGTCTGGTTTGGAAAATTAGCTCTATTTTTGAGCTCATAGACAAACCTCACAGATAGAAACAGAAAAGATGGTGAACGCACAAGTGTTAAAAAAAAAACTAAAGATATGTCTATTCATGATGTTTTTATGTGTTGTTTTTTTATTTCCTGCTTTTTGAAATTGAATAAAAGAAGCTGTTTGTTGTTCTTGGATGGAGCACACGATGTGTCCAAAAATAAAAGTTAATTGTAAATTTCTGGACATTTGTTGGAGTCTTCTGTCTGAATGTGTAAAGACTTGTGGTCTATATGTGACTGGCTTTAAGAAAGCCCAAACATTAAGAAGTATATTACTATAAACTGTTGATAAATTAATTCAACCATTATTTATACAGGTTAGTCTCATTGAATCACGAGGACTCATTTACAAGAGAGATCTGTTTGACAGACAACATATAAAGTACAGACAACAATAAAATATAAGTAGTGCTATAAAAACAGTCAAATCAAGGTGCCATTAAAAGCAAGGTAAAATGCTAAAAACAAGAACATATTTGCTTAGATTTTTCTATTGACCTTATCAAAGGTTTAAAATCTCTTAAAGAAATCAAAGTGGACAGCTTCAGATCTTGTTACAAGGTGCTCTAGGTTACAGGAGCAGAATAAGAAAAGGCCTTTTTGCCAAGTTCAGTCCGCACTGAGGGAACGCTGCAGGTAATGATGGCCTGAGAGCGCACGCTGTAACTGCACTGATGACGTGAAAGTGGGAGGCAATAAGAAAGCAGCAGACCAAGGAGTGATTTATAGATGAAGATGAACCAGTGTGAGAGCCTATGTGAAGTTAATGATGACCAACTGACCATTGATTAGAGTGCAGTGATTTGTACGGTAGTTACACCCAGTTATGAATCTTAACGTGTCATGGTAGACAGCATCCAACATCTGCAAGACACTGGCAGGAGCATTCATGTAAATAATAACACCATAATCAATGGCTGGTAGGAAAGTTGCAGCTACAAGGTGTTTTCTGGCATTTTGAGTTAAACAAGATCTATTTCTGGAAAAAAAAAAAAAAGTTTCAATTTCACTTTCTTTATAAAGCTTTCAACATGTGTCTTAAAAGAGAGGTGTGCTTCAATTTAAATTATTTGTAAGAATCTACAAACTCAATAGGAACACCATGTTTGGATGAGATAGAAGGAATAACTGCTGGCACCAACTTTCTGTTTGAAAACAACATCCCTTTGGTTTAATTAGCATTTAGCACCAGTTTGAAATGGAATAAGTCCGAATGAATGACGTCAAATGAAGACTAGAAGTTGGAAAGCCTTTGCAACTGTGTTAGCTCGACAATAAACAATTGTATCGTCAGCATAGAGATGCAAGGAAGCGTCAGGAATGTTTTAACCTACATTACTTATATAAATTGTAAAATGAGTGGTCCCTAAAACTGAGCCTTGTCGCACACCATTAATGTTTGTGAAATAGCTAAAGTACCATTGTGTTGAACACGTTGCCTCCGAACTGAGAGTTAGTTCTGAGAGGTTGTCTCAGTAAAGTTTTTTCTCCTTCAGATCAATGAAGGAGAAAGGACTGCAGATTTTTGCTTTCTGAAGGCTGAAATTAGAGCACACTAATAATTAATTAACAGATAATTTTGAGTCAGTTATCAATAGATTTTGTGTAAATTTGATTAGCCAAAGTGCAAAAGTTATCCAAAAGGGAAGCATTTTAAACAGTGACAGTAAAGTCTCTTAAACACTGAAACAAAGTTATTGTAATTCTTATAAGGAAGCACAACAATGTTAATACCAACAGACTGAAAAGTCTAGAAATAAAAAGCAAACACGGACATAACAGATTATATTTTTCCATGACGTGTCTTCACATGTGAGAGCGAGCAGACCTGTAAAAGTAAAACACTTTATAGATGATGGCAGATTTATTCTTTATTCTGACAATACGTGACATTATTTTCATCATTTCATTAGGTTCATTTAACATTTTAGTACTCTCTCAACAGCAATATATTACTAGCGACTAATATTGTTTGTTTTGTTGGACTTTAAAACAGTTTTTATAAGATTAATTAATTTGTTCATCCTTTACAGAATAAGCTATGATGAAACTTTAAAATTGCCTCATGGTTTGTGGTGAAATGACTCTTTCAGCACCTTCCATGTATAAATGAGGTGAGCACCTTTAATTAATCTGTAATGTGGGGGAAATAAATCCATAAATAAAAAAGGCCAAATGAGCTCAAATTCTGTTCAATAATTTTGATCATTTGTGACATTTTTCTTTCATCTATGCTGCATATTAGTGAACCATCGCTACAGTGAACAACTTGAAGAAACATGCATGTTAGGCTGCCCTCGGGCACCGGCCTCCCTTGTAAGAGAGATCTGTGATCTCAATGGGATTTGTCTGGTTAAATAAAGGTTGATAAAATAAATTATGTGAGCATTATCAATATCACAAAGGACTGCAATAAACTGTAAACGCTGCATGATGATGATTTAATCGACAATCAGATTAACTTTTGTCCAAAATACACTCTGTTGATTTAGACGGTGGTGGCTGAAATGCTAAAGCTTATTGGGAGTGTTGTGATGACAGAAGAGAAATACAAGAGAGATGAAAACCTGGCAAATGATACTGTGATTTCAACATATCTGTATTTTGAAATGATGTGCAGCTCTTAGTTTGGACATCTTGTGGGATCCTCTGGTGTATTTTCAGAGCATTTTATTGATGTTTTCTCATGATCTGAACTAACCTTAAACCTGATTATAAAACACTTTGTAACATTTCTATAAAGTGCTTTAGTTCATTCTTGTATTTTCTTCGATGCAAAGGTGAGACAAAGCAATTGTTAAGACGTAAACTGTTAAAAGCTCGGAAATGAGCACAAAACTGAGTAGAATCGTTGGAAAAATCTGTTTTTTTCTTTAGTTTAATGCGTGTTTATGAATGATATAGATAATAAAAATCCTCAGCTGTTAAACCTATTTCTCTAAAATCAAACCTCTGCATCGTCTCTTTCAGATACCAGCGAGTCTGTCCCGCCACACGGACATTTTCTTACTGAACGATGTGGATTTTGATACAGATGTCAACAGATAAAAGGACCTGGAGTGGGAACTACACACAACCTGCGTGAAACAAGAGACCACTGAACTTTGGCCAGTATGTTTTTGCCTTCACTTCACAGCGTTTCCTTAAAGTTCAACCACAGACTGCGCTGTTTGGGATTTTAAATACTTGAGCAGCATTCACTGTCAACATCTGGGCTGTTATAGTGAGACACAAACAAACAAAAAAATCCTCTTGTCAATAAATAATTAAGACAGAGGTAGATGCCAGACATACACTACAGCAATAATCCATGAGAATACAGAACAAAGTTGTAAATTCAGAAAAGCAGGAGCGCTTTAATTTGGACGTCTGTTTCAATCAATAATCTGCAGACAATGCCACATGTAAGGACTTTTAGATATATTTGCCAGTTTGTTTAAATGCTTTGACCTTTTCTGAGCTGAAAACAAAAGATCAGCTTTAATCTTTCTCAGATGTTCAGAGTATCGGTGAGAAAACTCAACGCGTTCCTTTTTACGGTCAGTTCTGCGGCTGCAGTTTGTTGTCAGTCTTTGTTGGGGACCAAATAGTTTTACATGATTCTATCTTCTAATGTTGAGATAAAATATTTATTTTAAATATTTGAATACAGTCGTTGTAAAATGTAGATTTCTGGTTTTAAAGTTTCACTCATCAGGGTGTGGTCCTGTCCAGGTCTTAAAACGTGGTGGATACAACCTGAGATAGAGTTGCATTCGGGCCCAAAAAAAATCCGTCCCCAGCCCATAGCCATCATTTCCGAACCTGACTCGATGAATTAACAGTAATTACAGGTCTGAACCCGAAAAATCCCTGACATTTTTAATTTAGCTTTGACCTCTTTTAGAGTTATTAACAGTCGGCGGACGTGCGTGGCCGAATAAAAAGGGGCAGAAGATTGAAGCTGAGGGGTTGTTTCTCCTTTCATGGCCGTCAAAGCACATTAAATCCCTGCTTCTGCCTGCATTCTGCATTATTCAGACACGGACACTGCTCTGACATGTCTGCGAGGATATTTTGGGATCTCACCTGTTTGGGTCGTCCGTCCGCCGCGCACGTCCGCTGACTGCAGTGGCTGAGCGTCCATTTGGGCTTTGATGGATCGCTACCTGGCAGTCCCATCTGAAGCGTTTTTTTTACCTCTTTCAAGTCCAGTCAGTGTGCAGTCAAATGGTCGTGTGTGGCTGGTAATTGTATGGCAAGCCATGTTGCCATATAATTGGATCGTGGGCTGCGCGTGTCCGCTGACACAATCAAAAGCCCGGCCCGCCCATCCAGCACATTATTATGGCCCGGCCCCAGTTTGGGTCGGGCCAGGCTTCAGGCCGGGCTTAGAAATGACAGCTCTAACCTGAGATAGATGTTTTTCATTGAACACAAACTAAGCTAAAACGCAGAAGCTACATGCTAAATGCTCATCAACCCGAGAGGAGTTTAAAGACAGCCTTCAAACTGTTTGATGCCTGTCGTTTTACGAGGAGAATGATTAATTAATAGTGGAAAACACTCAACAGTCCAGACCAGTCCTGACTCAGCAATCCTCTGAGAGGAGCAACATCACAGAGCTACACCTCAGGCTGTGACTGCAGTTAGCGTGTTAAATGTTGACGTTCATGGACGTGTGTTTGGAAAAAGACTGGCTTGTTTGAAAGCAAAAAGACGCACAGCCAAAATACACAGGAACAAGTTCTGTGTCATTCTTGTCATTCTGAGACGTTCATCCTCTAAAGAAGGTTTGCCAAGTGGCGTCTAAACAAATGTCGAGACTTTAAAACAATACAGAAGTGAAAATGTTTTATGAGAACACCCAAAGGCCACCTACCGACTGTTAGGCACGGTGGAGGAGGGCTGATGATTTGAGCTCGTCCTGCAGCTACAGGACCACCTCTGTGGGAGTAACATATGAGGCCGCCTGTACAAACAGCTTCTCCATTATAGCTCAGTTTTTATCCAATAGGACGTGATTCGTTGTTCACCTGGGGTGGCATTTTTCTGATTTTAACACCTCAGACGAGATTTTTTAAATTTCCTGAACTTTGAAACTTTAAAATGCCCTTTTACCATGACTGTGTATTATTGTCCAGTGTCATAAATAATATATAGAATATGTACAGAACATGTAAGAATAAGTGGTATGGATGTGTGATTGATCACACTTTGGCCCCTTGTTTTTACAGCATGTAGGAGAGTGGCAGTTTTATGTCACTTTCTTTCTGTTACAGTTGTGTAAAATATTTAAAGAGCCCTTTAAATGGGTTGACCATTTTATTTTTGGGTAAAATACTTTAATGTGAAGAAGAGAACAATAGTGTACTCAAACTGTACATTGCTGCAGTATTTGTCTCCGTTAGCACTTTTCCATCACACGATATAACTCGAGAGGGGGAGGCAGATGTTCTATAAAGTGATTTAAAAGGCAGACACACGTTTTTTTTTAATTTAATCTTTATTTATACAGGTAGTCTCATTGAGACACGAGGACTCGTTTTCAAGAGAGACCAGTTTGGGAGCAGATGGTGGGGGTTAAGAGCCTTGAGGCAGGTGCACCTTTTCCACCCACATTCTGATGTTGTCTGTTCGGGGGAGGCGAACTGGCGACCTTCCGATCTGGCCTAAAATGGCTGTTAAATCAAAGTAATGTGATAAAGAGACTGTAGCACAGAGCTATTTAATTAAATTGCTCTGAGGGGCATAGTTACTGAAAACCATGAGCTCAGGGGCCAGACATCCAGCTATTATTGTCATTAAATAAGTTTGTTTCATGGTTAAAAATCTCGTTTTATTTAAAATGAATCTATCGGTGGGCCAAACTGAGTTCATCCACGGGCCTGATTTGGCCCTCGGGCCGCCAGTTGAATAGCCGTGCTCTGAAGCTGCAGCAGAAAATGAACCAACCAGAGTTGTACCAAACTATGTGATGGAAAGGTGCCACTGTCAAGGAAATTTAGGTAAATGTTATGGATGTTTATAAACTAATGCGTGTGAGTCCAACATCCACGTTTAAACTTTGTTCTCTTTGACAAACCTGACCTCCTGAAAGAGTCATCTTTTGTGATATGTAAGAAATGCTGGATTGTAAAACTGCTGCTCCTTTTGTATAAAATGCCAAACCTTTAGTACGCTGCGCCATTCGAGATGCAGATAACTGAGGAAAGAAGAGCTGAGACGACAAACGCTGGTGAGGAGGAAAATTAACTTTAGCACAAATTTGTTTAGGTTTTTTTTTTTTTTTTAAACCCTCAAAAGAAATTACACATCAAACTTGAGAGTAGGTAAAAACACAAAAAGCTGTCTTATTAGTACTGTTTACTTTCATAATATTTCTAAAGTTGTGGCAGCAGATGAAAATATTTAAACTACATAACATTTTATGTTGCGTATTCTTGGAATATTTAATTTTAAATCTGCAGCTAGGCCTGTCACGATAACAAAATTTTGCTGGGCGATTAAATGTCTCAGAAATTATTGCGATAAACGATAATATTGTTTTAAATTGGACAATAATTAGTAATTATTGTCAAATTTAAAAAGAAATGTTAATTTTATTTTGAGTGTAGTACCTTTGTTGGCCACTGGATGGCAGTATAAGACTGTTTGAACCGAAGGATGGATAGTGAGGGAGCGAGCAGCGTGTCTTTAAGAAAAATGGGAGGGAGGCCCCTTGACATGACATGGGCTGTCTCTCTTCTTTCTTGGGTTCTCAAAATGACGGACTCTCTGTGTGGTTTGAGCTCTTTAGCATAGCATTTGTCACACAAAGCTTTTAATAAAAAATCAGTAAACAAGTTCTCAGCTTCTTTTTGCAGAAGCTTGGACGGTTAAAACAGATTTTAAAAAGAAAAGAGAAAGGGTTGGTGAAGAGCACCGGAGTTGAGCTTTTTGTCATCCAGTGTCTTCAGTAGAAAGAGAGCGACACAAAGAAATGATAAAGCCGGTAAATGAAAATGAGGTCAGTAATTTTCGCTAATCATGTGATTAATTGATTAATTGATTTATTGTTTATTGCGACAGGCCTATCTGCAGCAGGATTTCACTGAGATATATCGGTGCATAATGCAGTAAATGGTGACTAATCAATTCCCACTTGTATCTTATTTTCCTGCACGTTTTACTGTTTAACGTCTTCGTTTATTTTTTTAATTTCATTTTTCCTTCATTGTTTTTTTGGGTTTTTTTGACTGGGGCTGTGATTTATTCATGTTCTGTTCATGTTTTAGTGGTTTTGTTTTTAACCTGTTTTTGGATTTACCATGTCCTGGATGACTGAGAATCTTCATCAGCGCCTAGACTAAACTGGTGAGACTTTTTTTTTTGGGTGGGGGGTACTAATATCAATAGTGGATACATCAAACATTTTAAAAAATGTTACAAAACTTCATAGTTGCAACACAAAAGAGCAAGTCTTTTCTTCCTATGACACTTTGATGCTGCCAGTGTCTTGTTGGTTAAATGAAGAGAAATGACAGAAAAACGGCACAAAATCCTCAACGTGGGACAAACGAACCCGTCGTGACTCGTAAGAGGTCTGACGTCGCACTGCTGGATAAAACTGTTGAACAAACCAAACCTTGCTTTGACCAAACATTCAACCAGACCTGTATCGGGTGATCCAATGCCTTTGCAAACCTCCACAGTGCCTCCTTTTGCTCACCAAGGTGCCTTATATAAATGGTTTTAAATTATTAAAGACATTTAAGCACTTGATTGAATAAAACAATGGGTGAATAATTTATTTTAAAGTTGCAGCTAATTTAAGGTGTTTTGGGGCAACGTTCACTCAACGAGACTACTTGATAAATGTGCATTGGACAAACATTTATTATATATGGCACTTTGCATCAGAATATGTTTTTTTTTTTATAAAATATGTATGATGAGTATTATTAAATCTAAAATTTTGGGCATACTTGCAGACAGTGTCTTGTTTGTTATTTCAAACCTGCTGTAGTGGTGTTTTGTCAGCTGTTTCTATAAAATATGAAACTGAGACTGTGTGTAAAAGTCGTTCTTCTGCCACATGCATTTAATTGTGTTAATGTTGCTTTTGACTCATTAAAACAAGCCATTAATAAAAAGTACTTGTTTTGTTTTTTTAATTGGGTCTTCTCAAAGTGATTAACAACATAAATAAACTGATATATGGTAAAGTGTAAAGTTTTATCACAGAAAGAAAAAAGATTTCCTCTCTTTGTTCAGTTTTAAATGTGTTTTTTCTTTTAGTTCATATTATGACATAGATTTTCAGGTATTTTCAGAAATTGTTTTGCACAAGTTAAACTTGTGACATGAATAACAACCTAAACTTTAATGCTGTTTATATATGTAAATATTTTGTTGGTGTATTTTTGAATTATGTGTATATGAAGCACATTTCCATTGATTCCAATCTAACGATCTAGTCTCAAAGTATGGGATTTTTCTGTTTTTGCTATGAATTTGCATGTTTCAAACACAGTTTCTACACCATTAAGTGGTTGTTTTGGAGGTTTTGTAACCTAAACTCATCGGGGTTTTCATTTAAAAAAAATGTGTTATAAAACAGTAAAATCTCGTACTGCAACTCCTCTGACTGATGAAGTCCTCCGGATAGAGGGCAAAACATCTCTATAAAAAAGAAACTGTCCAGATGACCCGACTGAGAATTATTGGATTTGGTACCTGGATGATTGAGCATGAACTTTGTTGCTCACTGTCTTTGTTTACAAATAAATTTGATGATCAGTCACAAAGATTTGACAGTTCGAGTTCCGAATATCTCAGCGCATCTTCAGATGATCTTAACTCCATCTTTTGCTTCAACACTCCCCACCACTTGATTTCCTCCTCCAAAATTACTCTGCTTTGCTCGACTCTCATCCTCTTTTTTTTTCGTCGTCTCTTTTCAAAAGAAGGGAAACTACCTTTTTGCTTTTGAGCCGAAGTCTCTGAATCTGTTATTCTCCATCTGAATCTACGGATTATTTTATAGAGTCCATATCTATCATGTCTTCTTTCTCATAATTGGCAAAAAAAACATGTTTCTGCTTATTTGGATTATTTATTACAAATTGAGCAGTACACTTTTGGTAACGTGTGTTTAGCTATTTTTATCAAAGACGCTGCACATTTAGTTGACATAAATTTACATAAATTTCAAATTCCAAAAAACTTAATAAATTGCATATTTTAATTGCTAATACGGCTATAAATATCTTAGATTGTATAACAATTTCAGTTATAGAACCTTAAAACAAAAGTTTTAGCAGTGGAAATGTTACGTTACACATTTTGAAACTAATATTTATAAGAATGAACAAAGTCCATGCTCAATAATCCAGGTATAAAATCCAGCATTTTTCAGTCAGGTCATCTGGACAGTTTTTTTTTTTTTTTTTTTTTTTTTTTTTTG